TTTCGGGCCCAGCTGTGCTCGTTTCGCGGCGGCTGCGGCCCAGGTGTGCCCAGGTCGCTTTTGTGGCTGCCCCAGGTGTGGCGGCGCGTTCGGGCCCAGGTGCGCTCATTTTACAGCGGCGGCCCAGGTGCGCCAAGTTCGTTTCCGCGGCTGCCCCAGGTGTGGCAGGGCGTTCGGGCCAAGGTGTGCTGTTTCTGTCGCGCCCTGTTCGCTCTTGTGGCTGCCCCAGGTTTGGCAACGCTGCGCGCTTCCCGTCGCCGCACTTGCCTTCGGCCCCTTCTTGCCGGCGCTCCTCGTCGCCAATTTCGCCGCCGCTCCTAGTCGCCACTTCAGCGCTTGTTTCACAGCAGCTGCGGCCCAGGTGCGCCCAGTTCGCTTCCGCGGCTGCCCCAGGTGGCGGCGCGTTCGGGCCCAATTGGGTTCGTTTCGCAGCAGCTGCGGCCCTGGTGTGCTTAGTTTGTTTCCGTGGCTGCCGCAGGTGTGCCGTCGCCTTCGGGCCCAGGCGCCCCGCAGGACGGGTAGTCGCCCACAGCGCGGGCAGTGCGCCCGCACGGCGGGCCGCTATCCCGCAGGGCGGGAAGCGCACTTCCAGGATGAGGCCGCCGGCGAGGCGGGCAGCGAACCCGCAGGACGGGTCGCCATGCCGCAGGAGGCCTCAGGAGGAGCAGGGCGCCCACAGGCCGTCCGTGAGCGGGACAGCCGCCCGCCCGGTGGGCAGGACGCACCCGCGGGACGGGTCGCCACTCCGCAGGACTAGTGCCCAGCGGAGCGGGGCGCGGGTTCCCCAGGCCGGGGAGGGCTCAATTCCGCGTATTCGGGCGAGCCCGGACTTGCCATCGGTGCGCGATTCCACGTCTGCGAGCGCAGGCGCGCCCGGGGGCGCAACTAGTGCATAATTTCACACGCTCGAAGCAGCGGAAGTGCGGGCGCGCGACTGGCGCAACCGGCGTGACCGGCACGACCGGCGCGACCAACGCTACTGGCGCGACCGGCGCGATCGGCACCAGCAACCGGCGTGGCCGGCACGACCAGCGCGACCAGCGCAACCGGCACGACCGGCGCGACCGGCACCAGCGCAACCGGCGCGACCGGCGCGATTGGCGTGACCGGCACAACCGGCGCGACCAGTGCGAAAGGCGCGACCGGCGCAACCGGCACCGGCGCACCCAGCGCGACTGGCGCAACCGGCGTTGCCGGGCGACCGGCGTGACCAGCGCAACAGGCGCGACCGGCGCGACCGGCACCGGCGCAACCGGCGCAATCGGCGTGACCGGCACGGCCGGCGCGACCAGCGCAACTGGCGCAACTGGGGCGACCGGCGCAGCCTGCGCGACGGGCACCGGCGCAACCGGCGCGATTGGCGCAACCGGCGCGACCGGCACGGCCGGCGCGACCGGCGCAACTGGCGCGACCGGCGCGACCAGCCGGCGCGACCAGCGCGATCGGCACCGGCGCGACCGCCGGCACGACCGGCGCGGCCATAGCCACCGGCGCGGCCGGCGCGACGGCCGTGACCGGCGCGACCGGCGCGACCGGCGCGGCAGGCGCGACCGGCGTGACCGGCGTGACCGGCGCGACCGGCGCGGCAGGCGCGACCAGCGCAACCAGCGCGGGGCGACCGGCGCATCCGGCACCGGCGCACCTGGCATGACCGGCGCAACCGGCGTGGCCTGGCAACCGGCGCGGCCAGCGCAACAGACGCGACCGGCGCGACCGGCACTCGCGCAACCAGCGCAACCGGCGTGACCGGCACGGCCGGCGCGACCAGCGCAACCAGCGCGACCAGGGACTGGCGCGGCCTGCGCGACGGGCACTGGCGCAACCGGCGCAACAGGCGCGACCGGCGCGACCGGCACGACCGGCGCGACAACTGGCGCGACCAGCGCGACCACCCGGCGCGACCAGCGCGCCCGGCACCGGCGCGACCGCCGGCACGATAGCCACTGGCGCGACCGGCGCGACTTGCGCCGGCGCAACCGGCGCAACCGGCGCGACCGGCGCGACCGGCGCAACCGGCGTGACCGGCTCGACCGGCACGACCGGCGCGACAGGCGCGACGCGCGCGACCGGCGCGACTGGCGAGACCGGCGCCGGAGTGGCCGGCACCGGCGCGACACGCGCAACAGGCGCGACCCGCGCGCAACCGGCGCGGCCGGCGTAACCGGCGTGACCGGCGCGACCAGCGCGACCTGTGCAACCGGCGCAAGCGGCGCGACCGGCGCGACCAGCACCAGCGCGACCGGCACACGACGTGATCGGCGCGACTGGCGCGACCAGCGCAACTGGCGTGATTGGCCGGCGCGCCCGGCGCCGGCCCAACCGGCGTGACCGGCGCAACCGGCGTTACTGGCGCGACCGGCGCGACCTGCGCGACCGGCCAGCGCGACCGGCACCGGCGCAACCGGCGCAACCGGCGCAACCGGCGCGACCGGCACGACCGGCGCTGGCGCAACCGGTGCGACCGGCGCAACCGGCGTGTCCGGCGCGACCGGCGCAACCA